GAGAGAGACAGAGACAGAGAAAGAGACAGAGACAGAGACAGAGAGACACAGAGAGAGATATATATAGAGAGAGATAAAGAGAAAGAGATAGAGTGGATGATGTCACACAGAGGTGGTAAACAGTGTGTCTGAGTTTTCTTTGGAAGAGGAGCGGAAGCTATGAGGCCATGACCTCGTTCCTCAACCCACCCAGGCTGTGATTCACGATGTTCTCCGGGACCTTTGACCCCTCTAGCACCTCTTTAGTGGATGCCTCATTGTGTCGGAATCTACTGACCTGAAAGTGGACACGGCCAGTCAAAACTGCTCCTGTCGGGGACGAGAGGTGGAGGGTTAGAAGAGAGAGAGAGAGAGAGAGAGAGAGAGAGAGAGAGAGAGAGAGAGAGAGAGAGAGAGAGAGAGAGAGAGAGAGAGAGAGAAGTATATAGGGATAGACAGACAGGCAGAGAGGGGCGGAGTTGAGTCCTCGACCACGACCCCCCAATCCATCACAAGCGTGCTCAAACACGGAACTGAGACTCTCAGTAACACAAGACAAGCCCTGTTCCTTCCCTCCACCATTCATCCTCACACCGTTGAGGGCCGGTACCTCTTTTCACCGTCCACCTCATTTGTCCAGATCTTGTGAAAAGGAAGACGGGTCAGCGATGGTCTTCCTGAAATGGACTCCCGGGTATGTCAACAAGGGCGGTGCAAGAATACTCTAAGAGCAAGGCTGGCTGTAAGAGTTTTGACTAATACAAGATGCACACTGCAAAAAGTTTCATTAAATGTCAATTAAAAATTTTCAATGATTTAGTGTGTTTGGGGTTGCCAAATTTTCCTTCAGGGAGCGATCAAAGTTTCTGTTATGGTACAATTTGATAAGACCGGCCACTATCAAAGACTTTTTTGTTTTAGGTAAGTGTATTACAACACTCACCACTGCGTAATGTCTTAGGGGCGCGCGTTCAGTTTGGCAGGAATTAGTTTTGAATGTTGCTTTGGTAGCGGCCGAAGCCTACTCTTATCGATTTTAGCATTAGTAAAGGGAAAAATCAAACACTATTGGTTTTCTTTGTCCGGATAAGGTAGATTTGATGAAAACATGAATCACAAGACTAGCACATATCACAAGATATAGCGTGAGTCAGATCTTTTGTTTACACTCGGAATGTAATGGGGCCTAATGAACTTCAGGATCAAATTAATTTGACGAAGAAGCAAAGCAGGTGAGTACAGGTTAGTACCATTACCCGATCAGATGCGATACGATCCGACAAGATCATACATTTGACCAGTGGGCATCTTTTTAAAAACGAATATTCAGAGGGGTGGTACAAGAACAATCTATCAGCAAGACGGGGTTGAAACTTCCGTCTAACGAAGCCAGAGTGATGATATTAAATACCCGAAACACAGTCCGCCCCTTTCGGCGGTATTAAAGTATCAAATTCTCCCCGCTCCACACACGGCGTCTATTGAATCATAGCCCTTTGTCAACACAGAGCTGTCCTCTTCAAATTTGCCCAGGCGCCTCGAGGAATAGTGTTGAGTGTCGAACCAACGCCCAGGAGAATAGTGTTGAGTGTCCGACCAACGCCTCGTCGCTGGGGAATTAACGGATTAGGAGGCAGGTAGCTCACAGGTGTCAGGATCCCTTAGACAAACTCGCGAGTGCACCGATGTCTCAGGAGAGGATTAGGAAATGATCATCTGAGCCTCCTAGTGGCATTGAAAAACTGTGAACGTGTATGACCTTAGTGAGACAAGCGATCTTTAGGAGATGATCATTTGAGCCTTCTAGTGGCATTAAAGAACTGTGAACATGTATGACCCTACTCAGAATGAGAATCTGTAATCCTGGAAGGGCATTGAGGGTTCATTTTTAGAGAAACTGAATTGAGATAATTTACCGGTAATGTTCCAAGGTTCTGTTTTCGAGAAAGAGACAGGAGTGAATTTACTAGAAACGTTTGCTATATTATTGAAGTATACGAAAATACAACAGTTATTATTATACCACACATGGGGTTGTTTTAACACGCAATTCTATTAAATAAATCGTTGTATTTCACTATTGAAACGCTTTTATTTACACATAAAATGGAAGGCTCTAATCAAAATTTGCATAAATTACCCCGCCCATTATATTCGCCTTCTAACCCTCTGAAAGCAAAGTATAGACTTGAATAATTATATTCCTAGACCATGCAATGTTATGCCAACCGCTCTTTGCCCTCACTAAAAACTTTGCTGCGAAGCGCACTCACAGGACATCCAAATAAAGTGCCAAACACCAGTCTCCGAGTCTCACTAGTCGAGAATACGTGCAACCTTTCTCTACGTTGCCCTTAATTTTGTTCCAAATTGCGCCAAATGGTAAGCACCACAATGAACTGTGAGTACACCAGAGTACGGTGCTGTTACGTTCAGTTCATTAAGTAACGTCCTGCTCTCGAATGAAATCATTATCTGCTCAAATATGTCATCTCATAATACTCTTTTAATGCCTGCTCCACCTAAAATGCCCTCTTTCTGCTAAATTTGCACAACTGACATTTGGGAATTTATTTTCCCGACGAGACATTGCATCAGCACACCAGGAAAACACTGTGGATGGACAGGGGACACTAAATTCAATTGATTGATAAAGAAACAACCCAACACAACTGTACAGTGGAAACTGCTTCCACTAGCTTGAATGACCATCAAATGATTACCTCCCCTTGAAGTTTCGTAGTCACTTTATAAACCATAAAAATCCCAAACTGTTTAGCATTTTTGCGTTGTTTTTCGCAATTTAGGTTACATTATTTCTATCACCACATAATAACATTTTAAAAATCGACTGTAGAAATGAAAGAAATCTAAACTTTTAAACAGTATATTAAAGA